GTGCGTCCTCTGCACATTGGGGTAGACGCGCTTGATGAGCGCTTGCTGCCCTCCTGGTTTCCCAGCCATAGCCTGTGCCCCATCTGTGCAAATCCTGACACAGTCCTCCCATTTCAGCTCGACCTCTTTCAAGTAAGAATCCATGATTTTAAACAGTTCTTCTGCAGTTGCTCTGGCAGGAACTTGTTTGCAGAAAAGTAATTCCTCCCTCATCTCCATCAAGGAATCTGACATACGTTATCAATAAGCAGTCTTTTTTAATATCAGTGGCTTCATCCATCTACAGAGAAAAGCAGCTGTCACGCACCTTATCCTCTATGTCCTTTGACATATCATAAATGCGCCTGCCGATGGTATTATTGGACGAGGAATATCCCGTTATACCCTGTTTGCTGGCTGCTGCGTCGTCAGTCATAGTTGAAACCATATCCATAGCACAGGGAAGTATTAATTCCTCTGCAATCGTGTGCGGCTTTTTACACTGAGCCACTCGGTAGGCAACTTTATAGGAGCTGAGGAGAGCATTTGCTGAAACAGAGGCAGCTTTAGTAAAGAGATACTGTTGACCACAACAATTTAGAAGTTTTTGTCTGAAAAAGTCCACTGATTTGTCTTTGTGCTCTGGATGTTTTGTCTCTAAGTGGCGTCTTAGCTTGTTGGGCTTTAAACTGTCTCAAGCTAGCACTTTAAGACAGACAACATACTGCGGCCTCTCCTCATTACCCACCGCTGTGCAGGTGAAGCCAAGCGCAAGATATGCTTCATCATATTTTCTGCTTTTTGGTTTGGAAGGAAGTGGGTTTGTACGCATATTTGGTGATGATTCATCTTCTGCTTTTCGTTTGTGTCAAAAACCTGTCCATTATGCTAGCAGGTTCTGTTAGTTCCACATCAGTCATTTCCCATCTTTGTTTGTATGTCAACAACTGTAGATAAACGTTCCCTCTCAGTAAATTCGGTGCCTGCACTTGGGTCCTTTCTCTCATCACTCCACACGTCTGCCGTTGCAGCCCTGATAGAAAAACCCCGGGGCTTAACACGTTAAATAAAAAGTGCAATATTGTAACTGTTTTTTAAAAATCTGTTCCTAATTTGGAAATATATTTAATTTACAAGTTTTAGAGGGTTCTTTCAACAGTATATATCCAAGATAAATGATCACAATTATAATATTTCTTACTGCCTCAAAATCAAATTGAATCAAATCAAATCAGGACCTTGTGAATCAGAATTGAACGAGTTGTAGAAATCTGTTACAATACCAGCCCTAATTAGAAAGTCCACTACACAGACTCGGTGGCACAATGCTGCAAAGGAATGCAATCTAGCTAACAGTGGGACATGGAGAATGACAGCAGGTTTTCTAGACCAAGACAACTTTGTTCACCCATCCTTGGTTCCTGAAGTGGTTCCAACAACAGTTATTTACATCTACATCTATGTTATCACCATATTAAAATAATAAGATAAACATGTGTTTTCTTGTTCATGGATTTTCACCTGTCAGGGTCAAGGAATGTAGCCTCTGCTATATTCGAGGGAGTACTGTAGTTACTTTCAGGTGGACTCTTGCCCCAAGGGTTCACCAGAGCAGGTAGCTGTGCATGTTTTATTTGGCATAGTTTATGCTGGACAGAGATGGGCAGTAACGCGTTACTTGTAACTCGTTACTGTAATCCGATTACTTTTTTCAAGTAACGAGTAAAGTAAGGGATTACTATTGCAAAAACGGTAATTAGATTACCGTTACTTTCCCGTAGGAACGCTGCGTTACTGCGTTACTAAAACCGTGATTTTTTTGCGAGAATGTCTCATGACAGTGACGTAAGCGAGTGCGACGTTCGTGACAACAGCTGTGTGCAGATCAACAATGGATCATATATCGAGTGCAGAGAGAGTATGAGCGTGCAGCGTTTAAAGCGTGGAAGTACTGACCTTACTTTGAGTTTGATTCCATAAAAAGTGACAAAAACATTAGTGTCCGCTGTGCGTGGGAAGAAAACTTCTTTTTACAATGAAAAAACCCCTAAACTTCCGAGTAAACACCGAGTGCGCAACGACGTAATGGGAAACTCACAGGGAAACTCGCGGATTCTTCCACTGACCGCCGCGGCACACCTGCATCAGGGTAAACCTCCGCCTACCCAACTTCTACTTTACAGGTGAAAATGGAGCAACAGGACCGCTAGTCTTTGACTTTATTTATTTTCTGCTGTGTTTTACTTGCATCTATTTGAAAGAGTGAGTGTAAACACACACACAAAAAAACAAAATTATGTGCTGGAATGTGCAGAAAATAGGTTTAAATGTTAAACTAATTTCTTCCAGTCAGAGAATGTTGCATATAATTAAATTTTTGCTTGATGCATAAAGTTAAAAGATTAAAACTAATAAAACAAGTTTTAAAAAGGGACTTTTCCATTTGATTACATTTTGTATGATGATTATGCAGAAAAAGTAGAATTGGGCTGAAAGATCTTTCGCTTTATCACCTCTTCAGGTTGTAAATCGTGTTTTTAAAAAGTAACTAAGTAATTAATTACTTTTGAAAATAAGTAATCAGTAAAGTAACGGGATTACTTTTTTGGGGAAGTAATCAGTAATTAGTTACTGATTACTTTTTTCAAGTAACTTGACCAACACTGATGCTGGATGCTCTTCTGAAGTCCAAAAATAGAATTTGTGTCGCCATCTAGAATCACACCAGCAGCCTTTCACTTGTCAAGTACAAGTTCAAAAAACTACATTATACAGCCCACAAAATAAAAAAGAATTAGTTGATAATTAAAAGTATAGCTTTAGCTTAAGTCAGCTTCCTCAGCATGTTATTTTCAGGGTCAGGAATCTATGTATCCCCGATCATAGGAGGTTGGTTCAAGCCCTGACTGGGGCCTTTGAAAGTAGAGTTTCCTGTTCTCCCTGTGCCGTGGGTTTCCTCTGAATACTTCAGCTTCCTCCCACACTCAGCTGACATGCATGTTAGGTTATCTGGTTATATGGAAAAACTTGCTGTAGGTGACAGGTCGACAAAGTCCTCAAAGCGTATAAAATAAGTCCTAGTTTGTCAAAAATTTAATCTGACACCAGCCTTTAATATGCTGAGGAAGTTAGTTGGACCTTAAAAGTGTGCTTATGTAATAAAAAGCAGAGATTTCGCAATTTCGCCTGATCCGTTGAGGCTAATGCTGAATGTAAAGTTTAAATTCTGTGTAACCTTAACTTAGCATTTTTATGTCACACAGCTTTACAAAAAAACCCCACAAACTGCTGTGTGTCTCTGAATCTGTTAAAGCCTGTGAAAAATCTCAATCACTATTTTCCTTCAAGAAAATAAGAAAGCCTTCTGACACAAGAGAACTATGATTTATATGTTTTATAGATGAGTAAAATTTGCAGCAATTACAGGACATTCTTGATGTCACGTTTTTGGTCTGTTGCTCATTAAATGCTAGTGGGACTAATTCAGCGTTTCATACTGATCTATTATTAACTGCTAAAGATGGTTCAGTCTTTGTTCTGCTTGAATTAATCTTATAGTGTTTGTCAGAATCACTTACTACTTCCATTACCTCGCTTTGCAAAGTGCTCAGCCTCAGAGAAACCGGTTTAGACTGCTTTAGATCGTACTTGTTAAACAGAAAACCTCCAATGCTTCGTCATCATGAGCCTTTGTGGGCTCTATGCAAGGTGCCATATTCCTGATTTACATGCCTTAATCAAGACTGACATGCAGATGACACCTCGATTTATTTCCCTTTAAACAGACAGAAAAACCCAAAAAAACCTCTCTTGCTCTAGTTAGAAGAGAATAAAAATTGAATATAATTTGGTTTGTCTTTCTAAAATTCACAATAAAGAATAGCCTTGTTTCTCTATCCAAAAATCTAAGTATGCTGTGTGACCTAAGTGCTGTTTAGACAAACAAGTATTTAATTACTGGATTACTACAAGCCAGAGTGCTGTAATATGAACTTCTAATCAAACCAGTTTTTCCAGCTTGCAAGGCACGTTTCTTTTAATGCTGCTATGCTAAAGGATAGTGTGGTGACCCACTAGAGGGCTACCATCACACCCAAGTTTGGAGGAGGGTGTCAGGTTTATATTGTTGGATTATATATTTCTGAGCATAAATGACAACCATATATGCTTAGAGGTATATAATTGATTGCATATTGATAGGATGTTTGATCCTTAATAGTCTGCAAAGACTCTGTGTGCATTCCAGAGCACTCTGACACACACACACACACACTCCCTGAAGCTATGTTTGTCTTAAGCTCTTTGTCAATGCGATTCATCAAACTCATTATCAGGATGCACTTGCCCGTCAATTTGTTCAAGAGCCTCTTTTCATAGTTTGGAAATTCACAAATATACAGGTTTCCTACAGCGGTAAAGTTAGTTAATTTCCAAAATAAAGCATATGAATACATCTGGCTCCCATTTATTTGATAATCTTGAAGCTAAACAAACTAACCAAAGAAATTTATTTTTAAAATCCTTTCCTGCTACTGGCTGTGAAGCAGGAGACAACAAACCACTAAAGTTTTATATGCAGACAATGCTAGTATGTGTTGGCAGGTTACGGAGAGCTCAACATCTCAACTATTGTTCCTTGTTATTGTTAGTTTGTCAGTCTGGACTGTATATCCATGGTGTTCAAATGTACCATTTGCATTCCCTTCTGAAGTTTTCGTGTAAAAGTCTTTGCAGCTTTTAGAATTGAATCACTCATTTGAGAAGAAAATTCTCAGAAAAGTAGGATAAGACTAGATCTCTGAAAGTTTTTAGTCAGTAAAATATTGTTATTGCGTAAACAATAAAGTACATTTACATTTGTAACCAAACTTCAAATGGGCAAATCATCATTCCCATGTTAACTCTCTTAATTTTCTTGATAACTAGAAAGTCATTAGTAAGGATTTACCATACTAAATGATTACATTCTCTGCTTTCACAAGTTAATACCCTGAGTAACATCAGATCTCTCAGTTTCACTTTTAGTGAATGACAACTCCTAGTTGAGTCATGAAACCAGTTGCAACTGGTTGCGCAGGCATCATCATCACTCCTGGCTGGACAGTTGGAACAGGCTGCATGTTGATGACAGTGTTATTGTGTAAGTTGATGACAGTTGGCGTTTTCTTGCGATGCTTTAACTCGCGATGCATCTGACACCAGGAGCACCACTCACAGAAGCAGGAAATTGCAATGTCCTTACAGAGAGAGCCCTGCAGAAATAGAGTACAAGCATTACAGATGTGGTGTAATTCAGGTGGAGGAGCAGGTCATCTACCAACCAGAGGTTTGGTAGATCAATCCCTGGCTCCTCTGGTCCACATGTCACAATATCCTTGCAGCAGATACTGAGTATGTGTGTGAATGTTTGACAAAAAACATTTAGGCATAGTTGAAATCTGTGAAGAGAAAACTATTTAGAAGATAAAGAAACACACAACTCAGATATCTATTTTTTACATGCGCATGGGCAGTCAACGGTCCAATCTGCCTTGCACTGACGTGCACAACAGATGAGACACAGAAAAACTGCCCAGGGCTTCCAGAACGTCGTTTATTTATACTGAAAAGCAAGTCTCCACAGCAGTAGGAGTGTCATGTATGGAACTGATAATTTTCCTTAAAAGGAGAACGAGACCGTTAGCTTGCCTGTTAACAAAGGAGGTATTATGTATAGAAAATGCAGACATTTTCCATAAAAGGAGA